TAATGTTTGATAAACTTTGATAAGAACAAAATAAAAAAAAATTTTTAAAAAACATAAAAGATTTTTTGGGGCATAATGGCCTTTAAAAAATTCCCTTTATTGCTTAAGTGCGAGCTATTTATTTTACTTAAGGGGCCCCTTAAACCCTCAGAATTTTACTTTCTTTGTGAAACAAAAAACTAACAACAAAAAGTGTTTTTTATTTGTAATAATGTCATGGGTTAAAAATTCACTATTTGGTAGAAGATTGTAATTGCCGGGTGCTCAGTCGGTGGAGCCGTGGTATGGTATTCCGAGGGTCCCAGGTTCGAGTCCCAGTCAGGCTGCACATTTTTCTCACCCCATGACAAATGGAATATTATAATGTTGTGATAATGAAATAAGAAATGCAAGATATTTATCTATAGCTGAGTGTTTAAGGTTGTTGACTTCAAACCATTTGCCCGTCACTGCTGTGGGTTTGAATCCCAACAAGGACTTTCAAATTTTATGATGTGATGAAGCTATCCAGCTAGCTTAAGGAACGTTGGAGGTTGTACTCAGTAGCTGGATTGTGCCTGAAATAATGCACACAGGAGCAACTGAGGTATCCTCCAGTAAAGCTATATAAAACCCAACCAAAAAATAAATTAAGGTTTTGAGGCTTGATGGGCCTTTAATATAATTTCATGCTAAGATAAGAGGTATTTTGTTTATAGCCTTCTTTGTTTTTAGTTGACATGTTTATAAATGATATAAAGTTACCTTCTATAAATTTATTTAACAGCATTTTAAGTTTACACACTCAAAGATTGATTGTTTAAACACAAACACTTGTTTAGTTTTCACCTTGAAAAATTTCACAATCACATATTTGTTTACCTACATACTTAATTTTCAAGCTCTAACAGTTTCTTTTTCTTTGTATAAAGGCTTAAAAATTGGATAAGCAAATATCGAGCATGAAATTTCATTTTTGAAATTGGTAATTCATATTTTAAGGTATGATCTCTTAACCTTAATAAAATATTGCCCAATATTTAACTTCTTACAATAAAAAATTTAATTTCTTATGGGGCTATGCTTAAAACCACGCTGGATGGTTTTTTAAACTTTCAAGCCAATGTAGGTTTTTTAAAAATATTCTGTGAGAGCAAGTTCTTTGGTCTCATTGTAATGCTTTGAATATTTCCTGTACTTTTTTTTAATTTAGGTCAAGTTAATCCGTTAAAAGAAAAATATTTAAAATTAAAACCTTTTTCAAGGTCTGTTTTTACTGAGGTGTGTATTTTTGCAGCTGAAGGTTTTGTATTTGAATATGAAGAAAATGAGCAAAATTGTGCTTTAATTGAAGTACAAATTTTCAATTGAAATTTTATTGATAACGTTTTTTATGTAGTGGTGGATGGAGATCTTATAAATAGAAATGAGGCATTAAATTTGTTTTGTATGGATATAAAACTGTTTGATGTATAAAACTATTTGAATTTGTAAAGGTTGGTAGAATGTATGGAATGTACATTGTAAAATATAATTATATGTAATTTTTTTAAATGTATATTTTGTAGTGACTGGTTATTGATTTTGTTAGGACCCTTACTCAATTATTAGTTTAAACTCATTTATTAAAGGGACTCCACTGAGCTTTTTTTTGACAAGGCGGGATTGTAAAAATTTTTTCGTTAATTATGTTCCATAAATTTGTGACCAGTAACTAGTGTGCAAAATTTCAAATCAAAATACGCTTGCTCTGTTTTTCAAGAATTATTATTCTCATTGTGAAAATAACCCAAAATTGAAATGAGTTGCAACACTTTTCACTCAAATAGAGTTAAGAATGGATTTTGAATATTTGATTATTTGCAAGCTTTTTTTCTATGACTTATAAATAACTCTTTATCATTCAATGTTTTTGCTTCATGTATTTTAAAGTAACTACATTATATTTAAGTAACTCATTATAGTTTAATAAGGTAAGGCAGTTATGCGTAAGTAATACTATTTTACAATTGACTAGTTCTGTCGGCAAAGTTCTAAATCAATACAATTTCTACGGGCAATTTAAAGGTTTTTTGTTATCCACAATGAGAATAGCGATGTTAAATCAATTGTTTTCATCAAGAAAGAATTGACGTTCTTTATCTCAATTAAAGGTACGGTTTGTCGGTAGTTATCAGTATAATGTACAGTGTATATTAATTAATTAATATGGTCAATAAATACATATTAAACCCTTTATTAACTGACTCTCTTTGAGTAAGGGACATATTTTATTGTGTTGAATTTTGCAATGTCCATATTTGATTTGAAGTATTTTAAGTAAAAAAAGAAATGATTTAAAGGCACATTAAGCCTTGGAGACTATTAAATTTTTTCATTCTTTAGAAACTAGGTCAAACATGTGATTTATGGTGTTTAAATAAATGGTTTTTACAGCATTGTTAAAGATGCTTATCAATTGACAAAAAGTAGTGTTGAATGTGAAATTGCTTGTCATAAAAGTAGTAAAATGTAAACAAAGTAGTAATTTCACTTTTTGGCATTAGGATCATGACATTATTATCAGTCATCAAAATGGGCCAGAAAAAAATCCCCACTGCAATCTGACCTTGGCTCTAAATTGAGAGATAAGTACTGAACCACCTTATCAGGGGTTAAAATTTAAAAATTCAACAACAAAAAAGAAATAAAATATTCTTGCATGAGACAAGAAGAGTTTTTTATGGTAATTGTTCAAAGTAAAACTACAAAGATCAGTTGAATGATAATGTTACATTTAATGGAACAAATTATGTCACATTTAATGGAAACGTTATGTAGTGGTGGTTACCTGGTAATAATAATGCTCTTCCAATCAATAACTTCTGACTTTGACATGTCAGGGAAAACATTTCTGCCATCTATATTTTATATGGTGATAATGAGCTGGTGTTGCATGCAGTTAGTAATTACTGGTACTTCAAAGTTAGTCTATTTATCTACTGCAATATAAAGTCAACTTTTTCATCCATAGCTTTAGCTTTTCTTTATGGCATGCGGGTTACAGTTTATAAGTACAAATTTAATGTGTTAATTTGGTTGATCAATCATTTTTATTACAGTTAGATGAATTTAGTCAGTTTCAGATGAAGAAATTCTTTAAAAAGAGAGAAAGTTATAATTTATTCATTTTGTTTTATCAGCAAAATGATAAATTTCATATTTATATATTAAAATCATAATGGCATTTTGTTTTTTTTTCATTTATTTAGAAAAGAAAAATGTATATATCTATTTTACAGTATTAATTTGATTATTGTCCACCGCCTTTCAAAGAAAAAAGGGGGATATAGTAATAGGCTCCGTCCGTCCTTCCGTCCGTCCGTTCGTCACACTTTTGTGTCCGGTCCATAAATTTTTCATTTATCAAAGGAATCTGAAATAACTTGGCACAAATGTTTGTTATAATATGACGATGTGTCATGAGCAACAACCAGACCCGTACCTCCAAGGTCAAGGTCGCACTTGCTCATTCAAGGTCAACATTGTCTATTTGATGGTATATGTCGTGTCCGGTCCATAACTTTCTTATTTTTGAAGGGATTTTGTAAATACTTGCCACAATTGTTCACAATAATGAGATGATGTGTCATGCACAACAACCGGTCACCTACCTCCAAGGTCAAGGTCACACTTGGAGGTCAAAGATTAACATAGTCTTTTACAGGGTATATTTTGTGTCCAGTCCATAACTTTTTCATAGATCAAAGGATTTTTTAGTTACTTGCTACAAGTAGTCACTTGCACAACACCTGCATCCCTACCTCCAAGTTCAAAGTCACACTTAGAGGTTAAAAGTTAACATTTTGTGTCTGATCTATAACTTCTACATAGTTAAAGGGATTTTGAAAATACTTGGCACAAATATTAATATTAATAAGACAATGTGTCATGCACAACACCTGCACCCCTACCTCCAAGGTCAAGGTCACTTAGAGGTCTAAGGTTAACATGATAGAATTTTAAATTCCGTGTTTCATTTTACTAGTATTTCTTTAATAAATTTATTGTTACATTTGCAGATCTAGCATTAATCATAATTTTGGACTGAAAGTCCTGAAATCCATACCTCAATCTTTTGAAATAGCACAATTTTATGCTTCATATAAAACTTCCCGAGGCGGGGGACGTTGGTAACTCTGTTACAAATTTTGTGTTATTTAAAAATAAGTGGTGATTCTCCAATATACATTTGTATTGATTACTTTTTATACACTCAGTCATATTCTGGTTTGGTGCTTATCTGTCTGTCTGTCTTTCCATCCATTAGCCACATCTTTGTCCACTCAATCACTTGTCTCATGTCTTCATACATTGTAGGACAGATAATCATGGCCAGAAGATGACCCTCTTTTGATAGGTCAAAGGTCATAGTGGTGCTTATTTGAAAAATCCATGTTTGCACAATAACTTCTTGATTTATGAAACTTTCTTGTGACATTGCTCTTGGCCAGAAGATGATCCTAATTGATTATTAAGTCATTAGGTCATAGGTCAAGGTCACACTTGAAATAGTTTATAACCCTTTCTAATAATCAATTATCTGAGAAAGAATTAGTGAAAGTTTGTGAAACTTGTTAGTAACATTGTCCATAGACTGCTGGTGACCTCTATATATTGTTAGATCAAAGGTCAAGGTCATTGTAACACTAAGTGTAAAATTTTTGTCAAGAGCTATACATAGGTTTGTAAAATGTTGGTCCGAGTAGCGACAGGGACTTTAGATTCTTTCTTGTGAGGAAAGTATTCAGCTGGCTTACAGAACGTTGGTAGTTCTAATCAGGTGCCTGTTTGTGCCTAAGGTCTGTCTTCACCAGTAAAGCTTGAAAGTCACCATATGACCTATACTGTGTTGGTGCGAAATACAAAAAATCTTATGACAGCATAAATTAGTAGTAGATTCTATAATGCATTAAACATGCAGAGCTCTTATAAATTGATGTACAATTAATTTTCTCTATATTTTTCAGCCAGGGCTTAAAAGAAGATGGTAGAACATTCAAGTATGCAATGATGTTATTGAAGGAATCTGATTTGAAAAGCATTTGGTGAGCTCTTAGGAAATGGACTTATCCAACCTCCACCACTACAAGGGCAAATTGCGAATGCTCGGAGTTCTGTAGAATTCCATGACATTGGTGCAGGAATATCTGGGTATACTTAACAACAGGGACAATCACCAGGATGATGATCCGTGCCAGGTTAAATCATTCAATGAGAACGATGGGGAAGAAGCAGTTAAATGCCTACGTAGATGTTTTCAGGTACATAATGTTTATAATATTATATTTATAGTGGTTTTTTGTGCACTGGATAATTGTTCTACACCCAAATGCAGCCTGAACTTTGGCTAACTATATTTTGGGCTAAACTAAAACTTCAATTTTTAATTTCTTGTTTGCCCCAAAAAATTTGATTGTAAATATTTCCCCTAAATTTGGGCAGGACTTTTTAAAATTTCCCGGAAAATTACTTTCCAAAGATTTTACTTTTTTTTTGAATAAACCCTCGAAAAATTAATCTTTTTTCTTATAACATTTTGCGATTTTGAATAATTTAAAATATTATCTAAAAAGGGAGTGCGTTTTTGTTAAGTAGACAATCAAAATTTTAATTGCTGCAAATTTCTTATCAAAAATTTTTTGATTAAATTTTTTTAATATCGAAACCACCCCAAATTGAAAACAAATGCAACTCAACACTTTTAACTTTTCCGGGCTTAATAAACCCTTTTTTTAATGTAAAAATGAAAATAAGACCCAAAGGAAAAAATTTGGCCCAAACCCTTTGTTTCTAAAATCTACATCAGTTTCTAAATTCTAAAAAAAATCAGTTATTATCTAAATATAGGCCAAAACAAGAAATGTAAGATTATGGTGATCACACAGACTTTTTTTTTTTCATAATGAACAAGAGTACCTTCTATATTATAAAGAAAAAATATTCAAAATAGAAAAGCAAAGGGACTTGTAAAATTACCTAAAAAGATTAGATTAATTATTTTCAAGGTCATTAAATTTTAAAATTCATTGACATTTTTTTTTAAGCATTTTTAGAGAATAGTCAGATAAATAACCCAGACAGGCCTTTATGTTAATGACCTGATATTGCTAGCTATCTATGCATCATTTAGATTTGCACTTGTCCGTCTGTAGAATGACAAAACAGTAGAAAATGGGAGGGGGGGGGCATCTGTTCCTGATGGGCATATTTCTAGTTTTAGATATTTAAAAATCTATTTATTGTAGGTGTTGTAAAATTTCTTTATGGTTTTTAACAGAAACATGTGTTTTGGCCATTTATTAGATTAGATTAAATATTTCCAAAAATATTTTGGCTAGTTTGTTTGGCTGGAAAAAGACTTGATTGAATAATTTCATGGCCTTGTTTTAAGATTAGATTGAAAATTTTCAGCATACATAAATTATTTTGTATCTCAACACTTTGATAACACTGTTGTTCTATATAATGTTATGAAACGGTATGATTGATGCAATTTGATTTCTGGTTACCATGGAAACAGAATGTAGCATTGTCGCTCATAGACAGACAATAACTGGGTGGGTTATTTACCAATAAATAGGTTTTTCCCAGAATTGTTCTCTTTTTTTTTCTTACTTTTTTTTCGTCTATGGAATAATCTTGATTGTTATGGAATGAAATTAATTTGATAAAGATAGAGAACATTCATTTGATGGAGTGCATCCATTATTTTTTATTTTAAATTGAATTGTTTTGTTTGGCAGTTGTGTTTGCAATTTTTGACTTAATTAGGACATTGGTTATCACTGTGCTTGATTTCTGTTTTAGAAAATAAACGTTATTTTGAATATTGGGATCAATTCACTGTCAAAAAAACTTTGTGGTCTTTGATCTTAACATTTGAAAAATTAATGAATTTATTTTTAATGAAATATAATTTGCAGTTCAAATGTTAAAATTACAATGTATAATAATTTGTTCCTATAGAAATATCTTAAAATTTGAAATTTTAACAGTCAACCTATTACATGAAAATGTATCTTAATTTTTCTAAACATTGATATAATGAAGAAACAGTTGAGATTCCTTAAAGTGTCAACTTAGTTTTATAAAACATGCTTAGAGATTCTTTTCACTGTTCCAACTCTTTATTCTATATGTAAAACCTTTCTTCTTTAAAGATATACTGTGCTCATTCTTGAGTAAAACACTTAATCACAGAAATTTATTGAATTATATTAAATTCTTACTGAATTTGTCTAATTTAAAGGAATAGGAATTGATGGATTGATGTCCGTCTAATATAAATATTCATCATTTGAAAAGAGGTACCATGACAGTTTTTCTGTTGACATAAACTCTATAAGTGAGAAATTCGTGTTTTAAGACACTATTTTTAGCTCACCTGTCACAAAGTGACAGTGTGAGTTTTTGTGATCGCTTTTCATCCGGCGTCCGTCGGGCGTCCGTCCGTCCGTAAACTTTTACTTTAAATGACATCTCCTCATAAACCACTAAGCCAATTTCATCCAAACTTCACAGGAATGTTCCTTTGGTGGTCACCTTTAAAAATTGTTCAAAGAATTTAATTCTGTGCAGAACTCTGGTTGCCATGGCAACCAAAAGAAAAAACTTTAAGTATCATCTTTTAAAAAACCCAAAGAGCTAGAGCTTAGATATTTGGCATGGAACATCCTCTAGTGAGTGTCTACCAAGTTTGTTCAAATAAAAGCCCTGGGGTCAAAATTGGCCCCGCCCCAGGGGGTCATTGATTTTCCCTATAAGCATATAGTAAAAACTTAAAAAATCTTCTTTTAAAGAACCCATAGAGCTAGAGCTAAGATATTTAGCATGAAACATCTTCTAATGGGTGTCTACCAAGTTTGTTCAAATAAAAGCCCTGGGGTCAAAATTGGCCCAGCCCCAGGGGGTCATTGATTTTCCCTATATGCATATAGCAAAAACTTAAAAAATCTTCTTTTAAAGAACCCATAGAGCTAGAGCTAAGATATTTAGCATGAAACATGTTCTAATGGGTGTCTATAAAGTTTGTTCAAATAAAAGCCCTGGGGTCAAAATTGGCCCCGCCCCGGGGGTCATTGATTTTTCTTATATGTGTATAGCAAAAACTTAAAAAAATCTTCTTTGTAAAAACCCATATAGCTAGAGTTTAGATATTAAGCATGAAACATCTTCTAGTGAGTGTCTACAAAGTTTGTTCAAATAAAAGCCCTGGGGTCAAAATTGGCCCGCCCCAGGGGGTCATTGATTTCCCCTATATGCATATAGTAAAATCTTAAAAAATCTTCTTTTAAAGAACCCAAAGAGCTAGAGCTAAGATATTTAGCATGATACATGTTCTAATGGGTGTCTACAAAGTTTGTTCAAATAAAAGCTCTGGGGTCAAAATTGGCCCCGCCCCGGGGGTCATTGATTTTCCTTATATGTGTATAGCAAAAACTTAAAAAATCTTCTTTGAAAAAACCCAAATAGCTAGAGTTTAGATATTAAGCATGAAACATCTTCTAGAGAGTGTCTACCAAGTTTGTTCAAATAAAAGCCCTGGGGTCAAAATTGGCCCCGTCCCAGGGGGTCATTGATTTTCTCTATATGCATATACATGTAGTAAAAACTTAAAAAATCTTCTTTTAAAGAACCCAAAGAGCTAGAGCTAAGATATTAAGCATGAAACATGTTCTAATGGGTGTCTACCAAGTTTGTTCAAATAAAAGCCCTGGGATCAAAATTGGCCCCGCCCCGGGGGTCATTGATTTTCCTTAATATGTGTATGGCAAAAAACTTAAAAAAATCTTCTTTGAAAAAACCCAAATAGCTAGAGTTTAGATATTAAGCATGAAACATCTTCTAGAGAGTGTCTACCAAGTTTGTTCAAATAAAAGCCCTGGGGTCAAAATTGGCCCCGTCCCAGGGGGTCATTGATTTTCTCTATATGCATATACATGTAGTAAAAACTTAAAAAATCTTCTTTTAAAGAACCCAAAGAGCTAGAGCTAAGATATTAAGCATGAAACATGTTCTAATGGGTGTCTACAAAGTTTGTTCAAATAAAAGCCCTGGGGTCAAAATTGGCCCCGCCCCAGGGGGTCATTGATTTTCCTTATATGTGTATGGCAAAAACTTAAAAAATCTTCTTTGAAAAAACCCAAATAGCTAGAGTTTAGATATTTAGAATGAAACATCTCTAGTAAGTGTCTACAAAGTTTGTTCAATAAAAGCCCTGGGGTTAAAACTGGCCCGCCCCAGAGGTGTCATTGTTTTTAACTATATGTGTACAGTAAAAACTTAAAAAATCTTCTTTTAAAAAACCCAATGAGCTAGAGGTTAGATTTTTAAGCAGGAAACATCTTTTTGTTGGTGTCTACTTTTTAGCTCATCTGTCACAAAGTGACAGGGTGAGCTTTTGTGATCGCTTTTCGTCCCCGGCGTCCGCCCGTCGTCCGTCCGTCTGTAAACTTTTACTTTAAATGACATCTCCTCATAAACCACTAAGCCAATTTCATCCAAACTCACAGGAATGTTCCTTTGGTGGTCTCCTTTAAAAATTGTTCAAAGAATTTAATTCCATGCAGAACTCTGGTTGCCATGGCAACCGAAAGAAAAAACTTTAAATATCTTCTTTTAAAAACCCAAAGAGCTAGAGCTTAGATATTTGGCATGAAACATCTTCTAGTGAGTGTCTACCAAGTTTGTTCAAATAAAAGCCCTGGGGTCAAAATTGGCCCTGCCCGCAGGGGGTCATTGATTTTCCCTATATGCATATAGTAAAAACTTAAAAAAATCTTCTTTTAAAGAACCCAAAGAGCTAGAGCTAAGATATTTAGCATGAAACATTGTTCTAATGGATGTCTACCAAGTTGTTCAAATAAAAAACGCTGGGGTCAAAATTGGCCCGCCCCGGGGGTCATTGATTTTCCCTATATGCATATAGTAAAAACTTAAAAATCTTCTTTTAAAAAACCCAAAGAGCTAGAGCTAAGATATTTAGCATGAAAACATGTTCTAATGGGTGTCTACCAAGTTTGTTCAAATAAAAGCCCTGGGTCAAAATTGGCCCGCCCCCGGGGGGTCATTGATTTTCCTTATATATGTATTGCAAAAACTTAAAAAATCTTCTTTGAAAAAACCAAAATAGCTAGAGTTTATATAATTAAGCATGAAATTATCTTCTAGTGAGTGTCTACAAAGTTTGTTCAAATAAAAGCCCTGGGGTCAAAATTGCCCGCCCCGGGGGTCATTGATTTTCCTTATATATGTATAGCAA